TGAAGGGTATTGTTTTTCTTAGTTCTGGCTCTGTATCCTCTTTGTCACTGTAGAGAAATCCAACTGATTTTTGTATGTTGATCTTGTGTCCTGCTACTTTGCTGAATTGGTCAACTATGTCCAATAGTTTTCTTGCTAAGTCTTTAGGGTTTTCTAAGTATACTATCATATCATCTGCTTAGAGGGATAATTTTACCTCCTCCTTGCCAATTTGTATGCCTTTTATGTCTTTTTCTTGTCTTATTACTATTGCTAAGACTTCCAATACAATATTGAATAAGAGAGGAGATAATGGGCATCCTTGCCTAGTTCCTGTTCTTAAAGGGAATGCCTTTAACCTCTCTCCATTAAGAGCAATGTTGGCTCTCGGGGGGTCATAAATACTTTTCACTGTATTGAAGAAATTCTCCTCTAGTCCTATTTTGTTGAGTATTTTAATCAGGAATGGGTGTTGGATTTTGTCAAAGGCCTTTTCTGCATCAACTGATAGGATCATGTGGTTCTTGTTCTTTGCTTTTTAATATGATGAATTACATTAATTGTTTTTCTTATGTTGAACCATCCTTGCATACCTGTTATGAATCTTACTTGGTCATGATGGATTATGTTTTTGATGTATCGTTGGATTCTATTGGCCAATATTTTCTGATGACCTTTTTCACTTGATTTGTGCTACTTTTTGAGATTGCATCTCATTTAAGCAATTGAAATTGGGTAGTTGTCTACACTTTTATGACTGAGGCTCCACATACTTAATATAGCATTGTTGAATCTAAACCTCATGAGTGACCAGCAGCAAAGTTTTTCCTGCAAGGGTCAGATTATAAATATTTATGCTTTATGGGCCATATCTCTCTGTCACAACTACATAACTCTTTTGGCGCTGTAGCATAAAAATTGTTGTTAATGTTCAGTGCCATTGAGTTAAGTATGACTCATAGCAAATCTGTGAACAGCTATTCTGAACCTTGTCCTGTCCTGTTCTATCCTTATCATTTCTGACCCATGGCATTAAGTATTATAAAGAAATGTGCAAAAAGCTGGAGTTATAAAATAAAAAGGAAATAAATTGTTTGAGATTTCTCAAGCTAAAGGAACAAAAAAAGAAATTTAAGAGCTGCAATACTAACGGATGCTATGGACAAACTATTGAATGGTCCAGGAAACATTATAAGAAGATGGAGGGAATATACAGAGTCACTGTACCAAAAAGAATTGGTTGACACAGAACCATTTTAGAAAGTAACACATGATCAAGAACCAATAGTGATGACGGAAGAGGTTCAAGCTGCACTGAAGGCAGTAGCAAGAAATAAGGCTCCTGAAATTGATGTGATACCAAGTGACCTATTTCAACATGCAGGTGTAGCCCTGGATATGCTCATCAGTGTATGCTAGGAAATTTGGAGGACAGCTACCAGGCCAATTGACTGGAAGAGATCCATATTTGACCCATATTATTCCCACAAAAGGTGATTCAACAGAATGTGAAAAATCATAAAACAATATCACATGCAAATAAAATCTTGCTAAAGATTATCCCAAAGCAAAAGGGATATTAAGAGAACTGCCAGAAGTTCAATTGAATTTAAAAGAGGCCATGGCACCAGGGATTAATCTTAGCTGAGAGCAGAGAATACAAGAAGAAATTAAATCTGTGCTTTATGGACTGTAATGATACTCAGTTGTGTGAATCACAACAAATTGTGGGTATCATTAGAAGAATGTGAATCCTAGAACACTTAATTGTGTTCATGCAAAACCTATACCCAGACCAAGAGGCAGTTGTACAGACAGAGCAAGGGATCATTGCATGATTTAAAATCAAGAAAAGTATGTATTCTTTTTCCATACTTGTTCAGTCTGTATATTGAGCAACTAATTAAAGAAACTAGACTTTATGAAGAGGAATGTAGCATCAGGATCAGAGTAAGACTCGTCAACAACAAACATCATGCACATGACAGAACCTTGTTCACTGAAAGTGAAGAGAACTTGGAAACAATTGCAGCAGAAGGTCAAAGACTACAGCATTCAGTGTGGATTAAATTGCAACATGAAGAAGACAAAAATATTCACTGCTGGGCAGCATCATGATACATGGAGAAAAGAATGGGGAAAAGAATGAAACTCTCAATGATTTTGTCATGCTTGGATCCACAATTAACATCCTTGTCATTGACAGTCAAGAGACCAGAAGATGTGTTGCATTGGAAAGTCGGCTGTCAAGGACCTCTCCAAAGTTCTAAGGAGTGCACTAGATTCAAGCCATGGTCTTGTCAACACCTTGCTATGCTTCTGAAAGCTGGACATTGAATAAGGATGGCAGAGGGAGAATTGATGCTTTTGAGTTGTGGTGTTGGAGAAGAGCACTGGATATTACATAGACTACCAATAGAACAAACAAGTGTGTTTTGGTGAAAGTGCAGCCAGACTGCTCTTTGGAGGTGAGTTTAATGAAGGTTCATCTCATATGCTTTGGGCATGCTATTAGGAGGGGCCAGTCCTTGGAAAAATGCATCATGTTTGGAAATGGAGAGGGTCATTGAAAGAAAGGAGAACCTTCAGGGAAATGGATTGACACAGTCACAGTGGGTTCAATTATATCAGAGATGATGAGGATGGCACTGGGTAGTGCAAGGGTCAGGCTGTTTTCATAGGGTCACTATGAGTTGTACTTGACCGCACCTAACAACAACAACAACAACAATTACTTATCTGACCAAGCAGATGCTTATAATTTGGGACTGTAACAATGAACTTTTATCTATGGTTTAACATGTATTTCGGTCATTAAGAATATAAGTTCAACAATGGTAGCCTAGTACACTGCTGACCCAGAGATATGTGGTTTGAACCTACTACCTGCTCTGTGGGAGAAAGATGGACACTTTCCTCCAGTGCAATTAACTGCCTATGAAAGCCAGCTGGAGAGTCAGCTATGCATCAAGTTGATGATAATAACAAAAACATCATCAATAACAGTATCAATATTAAAATCTTTCATTTCAACACTTTTTCTACTATTTTGTTACGTTGAAGATAATAGTAAAATAAATTCTTTAAAAGATTTGCTCTTGTTTGTCTTTTCTAGTATTACCAAAATTTGAAGTTACTTTGCAGACACCATTATATTGTTCTTTGAATTCTAAGAGTTTAAATGGTACCATCCTGGCGAAGTAAGTATTATTTTTCTTTTATATGGATAGAAATTATAGTGATATGATAAAGAAATTGTTATATACTCTTAAAAATAAATACAATGTTTTGCTTATAGAAATGTCCTAGAAGGCAATAAAGAAATGTCTATAATAAATAACTAAACATGGAACACATCTTTCTTTGGATTTTCTCTCTGCGTACAAACTAATTCAAGTCCTATAAGACTTTCCTATGGACTAGATTAAGACCTTTCAAAGACTATTCTACATTGTAGGTGTGCCAATTTAAAAATAGTTGCATCTTTTTTTTTTTAAACTTACTGACATAAGAGTTGAGGTCACTTAAATCATATATATGTATACTTATGTAGACAAAAAAATATATATAATACATACATACTCTGGTGGCCTAGTAGGTGAGGAGTCGTACTGCATACCCAAAGGCATGCAGTCTGAATCCACCAGCTGTTGCTCCACTAAAAAATAATAGACAGTCTCTTTCTGTAAAATTTACAACCTTTGAAAAGCCACTGGGGCTTTAACTATGAGTAGATTCCCACTTGACAGCACGTAACCACTACCACCACCACCACTACCACAATATCAACACACACACTCATATCAGGTCACTGTGAGTGGCAGGTGACTCAACAGCACATAACAATGAGAGAGAGCGGCCAGCTAATGAGTGAGCTCTGGTGGCCTAGTGGTAAGAAACTGTACTTTAATCCCAAAGCATGTGGTTCATACCCATGGGTCAGATCCACCACCCACCAGAAGAAAAGGATGGGCGATCTTCTCTCATGTAATTAACCTGCTTCTCTCTGAAAACCTGTTGGAGGGTCAACAGTGAGTCAATTCTGACTTCATGGTGCACAACAACATCTCTGTATTAACTTTCTATTATCAGTAATAGAGGTTGAAAACATGGGGAATGGATTCACTAGTCATATTGCAGTTATTAGATGACATACTTTGGGCATGTTGCCAGGAAGGACCAGTCCTTGGAGAAGGACATTATGCTTGGAAGGGTGGAGGGACAGTGCAAGAGAAGAAGATCCAGAATGAGTTGATTGGCTCAGTGACTGGATTAATGGGAGTAGGTGTGTCAGAGACAATGAAATTGGCTGAAGAGAGCAGAGTTTAGACCTGTTGTAAACAGGATCACTATGAGTAGCAGGTGACTTGATGGCACCTAACAACAACAGCAATAGACTGCTTATAAAAAGGGACAACATCTTAGGCCAAATTGCTTATTTACTACTGCATCTTAGTGCCTGGTATGGCTCCAGCTGTGAGATAAACATCCAAAAAATACTTCGTGAAGAAAGAGTGGATAAAATATAGTGTAAGTTTTATGCTGTGGAGCACAGCAAAGTCTTCAAGTCCAATTTTAAAAAAAATGTCTATAGTGAACCAAATTAATTTTATGAGAAATAGTTCTTGTTTCATTGTTAAATTAGGGTTGAAATAAAGTTATTACTTGAATGTGTCCTGAGAAGAGTGCTCAGTGTCTGAGTGGATAAGGAGTTGCACCTGCAAACTGAAAGTAGCCAATTGAAATTCCCCAGTTGCTTCATAGGAGAAAGATGGGCAGTCTCTGGGGTAACTTACAGCCTCTGAAAACCTGCTGGAGGCTTGGCTATGAGTAGATGCCAACCAGTTGGCAATGAAATTACCCCTTGGATGGTTTTAAATTACAGAGACCATTTTGTAAACATTTATTTTAAAATAGTCTGTTATCGCCATCTATCTGAGTGGATGATAATCAATTTAAGTTACCCACTTTCTAGTAGCTATCTGTCATATTCAGGCTATAATGTGCACAGAATTACAGAACATTTCCTAGAGAGGAAGTTTAGCAGGCTGTTTTTTATTTTGAAATTTTTATCTAAAATGAATATAAATATGCATTTGTATATTTCCACACTAATGAAAAGATATAATAGTGAGACTGATTACATGGCCACAGTAGACTCTGGAGTATTGTGAATAAAATAGTATAGTATATTTAATTCTTAGAGACAATGGCATTTTCAAAACAGTATATAATCTAAAGTTTATGAAAATATTTTTTATTTGATAGAATATGCCATTTATACCCTAGAAATGACATAGAGGGGAAAAGGTAAAGAGAAACAAGAATTGCACTAATATTGTTATGTGGTGTCAAGTCACCTGCAACTCATAGCAACCCTATGTTCAACGGCTCTGAGCCCTGCTCTACCCTCAGCCCACCTTACTATCACTGACAAACTATCCCCATTACCCTGTCATTGTACTGATAGGATAATTTTTTTTTTCTCTGAAAAGGTTACTGTAGGTTTTTTCTATTTTAAAAATTTGAGTGGAAGTTTACAAATTACATTTGATACCATTCAGTCATTCATATACATTTTAATAACTAATTACAATTGATTAATATAATGAATTACAAGGTCTCACCAAACCCTTGTTGCATATTGCCTTTCCATTCACCTGTTATCTATTTGTTTTTACTCCCTTCTCCCTCCTTTCTTATACCTTTACCCTCTAATATTGTTTGTATCTGTATGTAAACCTCTCTTTAGCATTTTAAATTAGTGCCATGTAACCATAATTAGTGATCTTATACCAAAATCAAGAAAGAAAGAAATACATCAAGGATGCATCCTGTCTCCATACCTTTTAAATCTATATGTGGAACAGATCATTCTGGAGGCTGGACTTTATGAGGAGGAATGTGGCATCAGGATTGGCAAAAGATTCATCACCAGTCTGCATTATGCAGAGGACATGACCTTGCTTGCTGAACAAAACTGAGGAGGAACTGAAGCATTTGCTGTAAAAGGTCAAGGACTTCAGTCTTTAATATGGATTGAAGCGCAACATCAAGAGAACAAAGGTTCTCACCTCAGGGCCAATTAGCAGCACCATGGTAAATGGAAAAGAGATTGAGGTTGTTAACAATATTAACATTGCTGGGTTCCACAGTCAACACTCTTGGAACCAGCAGTCAGGAAATTGCATTAGGTAATTGCATTAGACAAATCTGCTGTCAGGGATCTTTCTAGAGTGTTAAAGAACAATGATGTCAGTCTAGAGGCTAAGATGCACTTGATCCAGACCATGATCTTTGCAATTACTTGCTGTGCATCAGAGAGCTGGACAATGACTAAAGATGATAGGAGAAAAATAGATGCCTTTACGTTGTGGCGCGAGAGAATTGTATTGAACATACTACTACTAGAACAAACAGGTGGGTACTGGAAAGTGAAACCAAGGTGATCCTTCCAGTTAAGGATTTTGAAACTCTGTCTTACATACTCTGGGCATGTTGCCAAGAGGGACCAGTCATTGCAGAACATTGTGCTCAGAATGATGGAGGGACAGTACAGGAGAGAAAGATCCCAGGTGAGATAGACTGATACAGTAACTGGGGTTATGGGGGTAAGTGTTTTGGAGATGGTGAGACTGGCTCAAAATAGGGCAGGATTCAGAGCTATTGTGCATAGGGTTGCTGTGAGTCATAGGCAACTTGATGGCATATAACAAAAACATAGCAGTCTGTTTAAGAGAAAGTGTAATCATGGTGCTCCTTCAGGGTAAAGATGATGAAACTTTATCTAATAGCATGTTGTCAGGAGGGACCACACCTGGGAAAAAGATATGATCTCAGGAAAGGTGGACGGTCAGAAAAAAGAGAGGCACACCCTTAATAGATGGACACAGTGACTATCACAATTGGCTCAAATATCTCAGAGATGATGAGAATGGCTCAGGATTGAGCAAATTCAGATCTGTGGTTCACAGAACTGCTGTGAGCCACTGCAGATTCGATGATACCTAACAACAACAACAACAACAACATCATTCCATAATTGTCCTTTTGTTACTGACTGTATCACTATACATAATTTCTTCAAGGTTCATTCATTTTGTGCATTATTTCACAAATTCCCGATCACTTTTTAATGATGGATTGTCTGAACATACAGCATTTTCTTTAGCTAGTCTTCCATTGACGGACATGGGTTGTTTCCAACTCTGTGTTATTGTAAATAATGCAGCAATAAACATGGATGTGAGCTGCTCAGTTCATGTTGCAGCTTTTATAAGTAATTTTTAAATCTTTTTCTTTTAAATAAGCCTTTTGTACTATGAATGTTTTCAGAAAACAAATAAGTAGTATTTTCAAGGCATATATTTTATTTGCTTTAAAAATGTTGTCAAACTACTCTTTTCTAAATAATTAGTTTGTCCCAAGTGCTTCTAGATTTTACTTCAAATAGCTTTCAGTATCCATGCTTCACAATTATTATAACCAGTTTGGCTATGTGGAATGCCAAATTTGCTTCACATTTAAATAAAAATTGAAGATACTCATGTCTGAGAATACTTGAAAGTATGTCTGAGTTTTAGAGCTCTCAGAAGTATCATGTGATGTAATCCTATTTTAAAATATAATCTAGCTATGCTTTGTTTTAGCCTGGAAGCAGGAGCAGCGTCTACTTCCGAAATGGCTTGCCTCCAGAAACTCTATGTACGAACAGTGCTCAGGGCGTTCATTCATAGGGTCACTATGAGTCGTCTATGACTCGACCACAACAACAACATGCTTTGTTTTATCTTTAACAAGACGTAGGTTACATCACATTTTGAGGAATCCTTTTAAAGGGTGAATTTTAAGCTGAGGTTGCTAACTAGTTTCCACGACTTTTCCTTTATTTACATTGTTTTCTTTTGAAAGCCTGATATATTTAACTGCAGACTTACTTTCCTTTTCTTAATTTGCAGTATTCTATATTGTGTCATTAAACAAGAGGCTTCCAGTCCCCAGTTGGTTTTTAATGAAATCTAGCTGATTGTTAACGAAATTGGAAACAGCCCATCAGTTTACACTTCATTGTTAACAAAATAAAAAATTCCCCAGTTTACACCCCCCCCCAAAAAAACCACTTACCCTCCAGAATCCAATTGCTTCATTCAGGAAACTACTACTGGACTAATAGGCAGCATTATGATGGATGGAGAGGAAATTGAAACTGTCAGCAGCTTCATCGTGCTTGGATTCACAGTTAATACCTTTGGAGCCAGCAATCAGGAAACAAGGAGACACATTGTACTGGGAAAACCTGCAGTTAGGGACCTCTCCAAATTATTGAGCAGTAAAGATGTCAGTTTGAGGATTAAGATGCATCTGGTTCAGGCCATAGTCTTTTCAATTACTTGCTATGCATCTGAGAGCTGGACAATGAATAAGGATGACAGAAAAAAAGAATTGATACCTTTGAAATGCGGTGTTGGAGAAGAGCACTGAACATCCATGGCTGACCAAGAGAACAAACAGATTTTCTTGGACAGGATGCAGCCATTCTTGGAGGCAAGAATCATGAGGCTTTGCCTCACATACTTTGTGCATGTTGCTAGTAGGGGGTATTCCTTGGAGAAGGACATGATGCTGGGAAAGGTGGAGGGTCAGCAAAGGAGAGGAAAACCCTCAACCAGGTGGGTTGATTGCTGCAATGGACTCTGTGTGTCAGGAAGTGTAAGGATGGTACAGGATAGAACAGGGTTCAGATCTTTTGTTCATAGGGTCTCTATGAATTGTACTTGACTCAATGACACCTAACAACAATAACAACAACAATAACAACAACAATAACAACAACATTTTGTGTCATTACCTTTTGAGTGGAATTAATTCAATGAGAGGATGTTCTATGTTTAATAAATGTATTTGGAAAACAGGGTTTACTGTTAGGATTTATGAAGTGCAAACCAAAATAGACTTACTCATTTGGCTTAGCATTTCACAATAAGATGGGAGAAACCCAGGAAATTAGTTTATATAAATAGGTCTTCTGGCAGTAAAACAGTTACAAAAATTACTTCTCCTTCATAATTAGGACTTCACATAAGTGGAGATAAAATTAATACATAGAATACAAAGCAACAGAGAATGAGATTTGGTTCAAGAAGAGGATTTTGATCCTGGGGGAAGGGGGGGAAATCTTATTTAAAATTTTCCTGCTTGAATCACTTGAGTATATTGAACTAATTTTTGACAGTCGTGATCGCTTTCAGTGCCTCTGACTCTATGGTCTTAATAAATTCCTTAGGCTAGTGCTGGAACATACTGTAATAGATCATGGTGATTGAAATTTCAGATAAAATTTAAGTCTTCAAAAGCTGTAATATCTCCTGGGCACATAGATAATGGATCAGTTCAGACTACTAGGAGTAAAAGATCTTTATAGTTTCTTGAAAAGCTTTGGACAGGAAGCTGTCACATCTTAATATGATCAGATTATTTTTTTGGTGGGTAATTCAACTGGTGAAAGGCTGGCTGGGAAGTGTGCATTAAAAAGTGTTTTGTGATGTAGTTAAAAGCCTTCACATTTTAAAGTTTTAATTTCAACAATCACCATTTATTAAGGATATTCTTGGCTGTGTTTATTCTAGAAAACGTATAGGAGGGTGTGCTTCTTAATGCAATTCTTTTATGTTGGATTGCTAGTATTTACAGCTGAAAGTAATATTTCATTGAAATATTTTGATAATATCGGGTTGAAAATGCACAGAAATTTTGCTTCCTTTTCTTTTTCTTTTTTTTTTATGAGAAAAATTTGTATTTAAAGTTAGCCAGGTGGAGTCAGTTTAGATGATTCCAATTTAGTTGGTAACATCCAAAGAGCAAGTTGAACCTAGGCCTTTTTCTATCCATCAGGCCTAATTAAGGTGTTGACCTTGGCCACATCAATGTCATAGAGCTTCTTTACAGCTTTTAAAATCTGGTGCTTGTTGGCCTTGACATCCAAAATGAACACAAGTGTGCTGTTATCTTCTATCTTCTTCATGGCTGACTCAGTGGTCAGGGGAAACTTGATAGTGGTCAAGCTTGTTTCTTCTGGGGGCGCTCTTCTAGGGATATTTGCTGCCTTTAGCATCTGAGGCTGCTGGAAGGTGGATGATGTGTGGATTTTTTTTTTTGGTGGCTGTTTGGCACCATCTTCGTAAAAAGACTATTTCTTATTTTTCAGGTATACATATGGGAAGCCAGTTAAAGGAGATGTAACACTAACATTCTTACCTTTATCCTTTACGGGGATGAAGAAAAATATTACGAAGCACTTTAAGGTATTTTAGAAATGATATTTATAGTTTATAAAAGAAAAAACCCTAGAGGGATATTTTTAAAGATTTTTATACTGAATTCAATAAAAAACAATGACTGCATGTAAGAAAATCAAGAATTTTTCAGCTTTGGACAAATGGTAATTCACCTATTTATAGCAATTGAAAAGGAATAAAACCCCATTGTATTGCTGTGACTTAGATAGAATTTTATTTCTACAATTTGAATGGTTTAAGTGAGAGATAAAATCAAACTTTTTAATGAAACAGATAAAGGGATCTGCAAACTTCTCTTTTAATGCTGAAGAAATGAAAAATGTTGTGGATATTTCAGAAGGGCATCATGGATACATGGATCATCTTTCCCTTGGGCCAGTAGAAATTTTAGCCACTGTGACAGAATCACTGACAGGTTGGTAGACTTTGAGGTGAAGGTAATGTTATTTCTGTGATATTGGCTCCGTGGCCTGTCTTCACTAATGCTTTGTATTGGAGTCATCTTTGCCTTTCAAAGATGTTAGCATAATGCTAAAATTGTCATGACACTTAGTTGTACCTGCAGGATACTTTCTTTTTCTTTTTTAGTGTGTGTGTGTGTGTGTGTGTGTACAGTTTAATTTGGTCCAACTGGCATAAGAGGAGATTGCCTTTCCTTCTCCAATGGAGCAGCTGGTAGAGCAGAATACTTTCTTAATGAATGAGAACTTTACTATCTATGAAGTTTATCAACTACATTTTTTAGCTCTTTGTAATCCCCCCTTTCTTTTTCAGCCTGAAAACTACATTTTTCACGTAGCTAGTTTTTGTTGTTGTTGTTGTTGTTTTTAAATCACTTAACATGTCCTGAAACCTCACCTCTTTTTAGAGAATTTTCTCTCTAATACAAAAATAAAGATTAATTTCTTAGACTTTTTTAAGCAGCTTCTACCAAAAGGCTGTTCTTTCAGAACCCTTAATCTGCTGATACACTTATCTTTCAGGGGGGAATGGCACTGATGGTGTTTAGAAGAGATGTGGAAATAAAGATTATATAGCCTGCTCTGGTGGCCTACTGTCAAGAAGAACCTACACTGCAATCCCAAAGGCAGGTGGTTTGAGGCCACCAGCTGCTCTGTGGGAGCAGAATGGGTAATCTCCTCCCATGCGGTTAACTGCCTCTGAAAAACACACCAAAGGGTCAGCAATGGGCCCCATTCTACAGTAAACAACAAGGCCCCTCACATGGATAGAATGTTGAATAAAAGCCATTGGTGAACTTTTGCTTTCTAAACGTTTCCATTTCCAAAACAGGTATCTCTAGAAATGCAAGCTCCAATGTGTTTTTCAAGCAACATGATTATATCATTGAATTTTTTGATTATGCTGCTATCTTGAAGCCTTCTCTCAACTTCACAGCCACTGTAAGTTGGTCTGAAGCAAAAGTTTAACATAATGAAATAGAATAAAACATTGAACTGTCAATGCTTTTTCTAATATTTAAGCAAAAAAAGGTAGATTGACTGCTTTTTCTTTTGAGACCAAGTGTTCTTTGTTTAATTTTTGTAAAAATTAGTTTCTAACAACAAAATATTTTAGAGAGTTGAGTCTCATGGGAATAGTGGTGGTGGGGGGGACTAGATTAAAATTGAATTTAAAGCCATTGTTTCTCTTCACAATTGCGTTTTGACACACAGGTGAAGGTAAGCCGTTTTGATGGAAATCATTTGACTCCTAAAGAACGAAGCAATAACATAGTCATAACAGTGACACAGAGGAACTGTACCAACTACCGGAGCAGGTGGAATAGTAGGAACCAGGAAATGGGAACTACCCAGATTATGAATTTTACTGTACCCCAAGATGGAATCTTTAATATTGAATTCCCAATCCTGGGGGATTCCAAAGAACTGAAATTAAAGGTACTATCTATTTATCTTCATTAATTACTACAAAAATATCATTTCAATTGTAATCTTGTGGTGGGACCCACAGAATCTTAGTGGAGGTCAAAGTGCATAGAAAGTGGACATATGTTTCTGGTGTTTTTTTTTTTAAAACTGCTCAGCATGTTAACAAGAATTTGACAGTGGCTGAGTGTTCAACTGAAAAGAAAGTGAGTGCTTTCTTCTAAGTTGATTTTGAAGAACACAGAAGCTTCCTAGACCTCAAATCAAAGCTGATCTGTCATTTCAGATTTCATATTGGCAAACACCAAAATAAAAGAAAGATCTACATATATATATGCATTTTTACATCTTTACCAAATTCTTGTTTCCAGAATGGCTGTCCATAGCTTTTCTGGCTACCTTTCATAGATTATTTTATCTTTGCCAAAGTCAGTATTTTGACTGAACAAAGGAATTATGAAGGTATGATCATTGTGGGTCAAGTGGGATGGCATACTTTCTTGCTTGTAATTGAATTCTGTATTGTGGAGAGAAGGAAAGGGGATAAAAAAGAAAGGATTCCTTCCTCTTTTCATTCTCTCATCTCACAGTGTGTTCTCATAATACCACTTTGTGTCTGAATGAAGACAAGGCGATGCTTTTTTTAAATATTTTATTTATTTATTTTATGTGTGTACCGTCAAATTGGATCTGACTGGTACAGGAGGTGATTGTTCTTCCCTGTTCAGCAGAGCATCTGGTGGATTTGAACCGCACACCTCTGGGATTGCAGTACAGTTTCCTGCCACTAGGCCACCAGAGCTCGCCTGCTTTTTTAAAAATAGGTTATGTTGTTTAAGCTCCCAAGTCTGAAAGCTGTTAGTTTCTTTATAATAGTGTAAGCTTAAAAATGATGAAGAACTAATATTTGGTGAATGTGCTTTTTGGTTTGTTTTTTTTTTTCTCAAGATGCCACTGAAAGTGAGAATAACTGCTTTTCCCTCTGTTGTAGGCCTATTTTCTTGATAGTGTAAGTAGCATCGAAGTTCATGATATGTTTAAGTCACCTAGTAAGACATACATCCAGTTGAAAACAAGACATGAAAATATAAAGGTAATGTTTTCAGTTCTCTTGTTAATTGCAATACCAGGACTCTGGCCATTGGTACGGGTATATTAACTAAGTTGTTTTCTCTAGGTTGGATCCCCCTTTGAGTTGGTGGTTAGTGGCAACAAGCAATTGAAGGAGCTAAGCTACATGGTAATCTCTCTCTCTCTTTTTATTTTTATGGCTTTTTTCAGTTTATTGCATGAAGGGGTTACACTAGTCCAAGTTAAAAGAGGACCCCAAATGGTTACATTATTGAAGCTGTGAGGTTTTAAACTTGTGACAAGGCTCAGAAGGGAAATTTCCTTCTCATTGCAAGGAAATCCTCACTTAAGCTTCAGTGAGCCACAGGCACTTAAAACCCATGAACCTTCAGCTGGTCGTCCTCAGCCAGTCCCATCTCCACAAGGAACTGGCATGTGTTCTTGTGCTGGTCACCCTGTAGCTGAATTACTTCTCCGTATTCTGGATGCTCAATTACAGTACCATTGCAGGCAAACTTCTTCTTAAACACCTTCCCTAGTTTCTCTTTATCGTAATCATCAGCAATCCCTTGGACAGTTGCGAGGGTCTTCCTGCCATTTCTCAGTTGAATTCTTAGATACAATCCTCAGTCCCAGCAGGAAGCAGGTCATTACTCTTACTTGCATCAGCAAAGGGGTCGAAAGAGTGGAGGTTATGGATAGTGGATATATGATACCATTCTTTTTCCTCAGTGGAAACAGCCTATGGAAGGTGGTGGTGGGAGAAGGGGGGGAGGGAGGGAGAGAGCATTGGGAAGCGAGGGGCTCAGGCTTCTGTGTCCTGGGCAGCAGCTCAGTGACTTGGGTGGTAATCTCTTACAGAATCTAAATTTATAATTTATTCTGCAACTATTTAAAATGGTGTTTATCTTATGCCTAGACACATTAGTAGGTTTTAAACATTAGCATCTCCCTTTTGCAGTTGGTCTTATTTAAATGACAATAAAAATATATTTTTTCTTTTCCATTTTCACCTAGCGTAGCCATTCTAGCTTATAGTAAACAATGAAATCTTGCATTGTATTTAAAAATTTAAGTTATGAATAAGCCACATTTGTAATTTAAAAATTATAAAATATGAACTCAAAGAAACAAAAATATCCCTGTAAATGCCTTATAATTTTGTTAACCCTGATTTTCCTGTGGTGCCTGATGTTCCTTACAACTAAACATAGATTCTTGTGGATGAAGCTTCTGGTGTCCCATTCAGTGTTACTTTAATCTCAGCATTTTTTATTTCCTGCCCTGGGCATGTTGCATCTGTCAGGGAGATTTTTCTCCATTCAGAATGATTTTGAAGCTGACTTAGGTAAAAAATACATGTATATGTTAAAAATTATGATAAATATATCTGTAGTTGAGATTCTCACCGGTGTATCAGCAGATGAAATGTATCCGTTCTCCTTTTCAGGTGGTGGCCAAAGGGCAGCTGGTGGCCACAGGCAAACAAAATTCAGCTACTTTCTCTTTAACACCTGAAAATTCTTGGGCTCCAAAAGCCTGTATCATTGTGTATTATGTTGAAGATGACGGGGAAATTATAAATGATATAATAAAAATTCCTATTCAGCTTGTTTTTAAGAACAAGGTAAGATTTAAGATAATAAATGACAAAAACATCATATATAGTGAAATCTTAAAATAGAATATTGATTTTTAAAAGTCTCTTTCAAATATAATTTATTAGAAATTTTTGGAAAATTTATTTCTAGAACTGTGATGAAATGTCTTCATATTTCATTTTTTAAATGTATTTTCCTGTTTGGAGTTCTTGGTCCCTCTGGGTCCTATTTATAAGATATGGTTCATGGCTTTAAGACTTTAATGCAAATCCATTCAGAATTTAACTCGAAGCTATGTCAGGATTTCTCAAATGGTGGATTCCGTATTGGAATACCAATAACAATGTTTTTTTGTTGTTGTTATGTGCCGTCGAGTCGTTTTCGACTCATAGCGACCCTATGCACAACAGCCCTAAACCCTGCTCTATCCTGCGCCAACCGCACTGCCTCTGACACACCCATCCTGATTACCCCAGTCACCGAATCAATCCCTCTTATAGAGGGTCTTCCCCTCCTGCGTTGTCCCTCCACCCTCCCAAGCATGATGTCCCTCTCCAAGGACCCGTCCCTCCTGGCAACATGTCCAAAGTATGTCAGACGAAGCCCCAGAATCCTTGCCTCCAAGGAGTAGCTTGGTTTAATCCTCTCCAAGATGAATCTGTTTGTTTTCCTGGCAGTCCATGGTACATTCAGTACTCTTCTCCAGCACTACAGCTCAAAAGCATCCACTCTCCTTCTGTCCTCCCTAGTCATTGTCCAACTCTCTGATGCATAACAAGCGATTGCAAATACCATGGCCTGTATCAGGCGCACCTTAGTGTCCAGAGAGATACTGTTTTTCCTGAGTACTTTTGAGAGGTCCCTAGCAGCAGACTTTCCCATCGCGATACGCTTTCTGATTTCCTGACTGCTGGTGCCAAGAGTGTTGACTGTGGAGCCAAGTAAACGGAAGCTGTGAACAATCTCAATCTCTTCGCCATCCATCCTGATGCTCCCAATTGGTCCAGTGGTGAGAATCTTTGTCTTCTTGACATTGAACCTCAGTCCATACTGAAGGCTGCAGTCCCTGACCCTTGGCAGCAAGTGCATGAGGTCCTCCTCAGTTTCAGCAAGCAGGGTTGTGTCATCTGCATAACGCAGATTGTTAATAGATCTTCCACCAAACTTGATGCCACAATTCTCCTCATAGAGCCCAGCTTCTCGGATAATCTACTCTGCATACATGTTGAAAAGGTATGGAGACAGGATGCATCCCTGGCGTACACCCTTCACAATTTTGAACGATGCAGTGTTACCCTGCTCTGTTCTGACTACTGCCTCTTGATCCAAGTACAGGTTTCGCATTAGCACAATTAAATGTTCTGTGATTCCCATTCCTCTCAGAGTCAGCCACAGTTTGTTATGATCCACACAGTCAAATGCTTTTGCATAATCAATGAAACACAGACAGACATTCTTCTGGTATTCTCTGCTTTCAGCCAAGATCCATCTAACATCAGCAACAATATCCCTAGTACCACGATAAGGCCCCAGGAATAGATGATATACCAATTGAAGTATTTCAGATAACAGATGTTGCCCTGGATGTGCTCATCAAGTTGTGCCAAGAAATCTGGAGAACAACCACTTGGCCAACTGACTGGAAGAGATCTATATTTGTTCCCATTCCAAAGAAAGATGACCCAACTGAGTGTGGAAACTACAGAACAGTGTCATTGATTTCACATGCAAGCAAGATTCTACTGAAGATTATCCAAAAACGATTGGAACAGCACATCAGCAGAGAACTGCCGGGATAACAATGTAGACTTTTTTTGACAAATCTTTTTATGATGATGTTTATGAAAAAATGGCAGAAGACTAGGAAGCAATGAGACCATTTGAGAGAAAGTCTTATAGCAGAGCAAGGCTTTGGTGTACCCATTTTATCACTCAGAAAGTAACTGAGAACAAATTTCCCATGAGCTTGACTACTTTGTATGTGAGGACCTGGGGAGCCTGGCCTCCAAATGTATCAGTGATTTTTATAGCCTGGTGCTTCCAGTTTATCTATGAGGCCCCTTTAGAGTCCTACACTACAAAGAAACATGATTGCAGGATGCCACATTGATGAGATAATTTCATGCATGTTAAAATGACTCATGCCAGAAATGCAAAGCTCCTGTTGTTCAGCAAAATCTCACTCGTAGGACCTTATAGGATGAGTGAAACTGCGCTATAGGACTCCCAATACTGCAGTTTTTTTTAAAAAAATTGTCTCTTGCAATTAGTTTTTTAAATTTTATTTTACACTGGTTTTCCTATAAAGTTTGTATACATTACCTCTTCCACCAGATTCACCCCTTCCCAACCCCCCGATCAAACAGTGCAACCCCATGATTATCCTTTCCCCATCTCCCATCCTGCTCCCTTCTCTTAGATCCTCACACTCTCTACTAGTTATCTATATCTACAATAATGGTCTTACACAGTGTTTGCCCTCATGAGACTGAGTTGTTCACTTAGCATAATACTCTCCAGTCCCTCCGAAGTTCGGTAGTAATTTACAAAATCATTGCTCCTGAGTGCTGCGTATATTCCATAATTTCTCAATCCATTCAATTGTGTTTGGGCTTCTGGGCTGTTTCCATATTCTTGTGATGGTGAATAAGGTTGCTATGAACATTAGTGTATAAGTCTCTGTGCTTCAGTTCGCATTCTTTTAGGGTGTATTTCAAGCAGTGGAATAGCTGGGTCATGTGGAATTTCTATGTTCAGCTTTCTGAGGAAACACTAAACTGCCTTTTAAAATGGTTGTACCGTTTTACAATCTCACCAACAGTAAGAGTTCTATCTCACCACGTCCTCTCTAATATTTATTACTTGCTGTCTTGTTAAACTTTGCCACTGTTACTGGAGTGAGATGATATCTCATTGTGGTTTTGATTTACACTCTCTTACTACCAGTGTTTTGGAGCATTTCTTAATGTGTCTCTTGGCCATCAGAATATTTTGTTCTGTGAAAATTCTTTCTATGTCTTTTGTCCATTTTGTAATCGTGTGATCAGTCTTTTTTTTTGTGGAGGCCCTGTATGGTTATGTAAACTTTTGCTATAATCCCTTTTTTGGAAATGGTATTACCAAATGATTTTTCCTAATAGTAGGTTTTTCTTTTCACCCTGTTGGGAAAAGTTTTTGATGTGCACAGGGCTTCTTTAAAGGTCCCATTCATCAATTTTATCCTCTCCAGATTGAGCATTTCTGGCTGTATATGGCAATCTCGTTATAACATAAACTAGGCCGTCTAAGCTTGATTCCAGTTTGTCTCTGATGAGCTTTATGGTTTTGGGCTTTACTTCCAAATCTCTGAAGCACCTTGTGTTGATTTCTGTGTATGGTGTGAGATGTGGATCCTGTTTCAGCTTTCTGCAGGTAGCAAGGACTGAAAATCTTAATCTTAACCAAAGACACATAATATGAACCCATTAGCTGTTTCATGGGAGAATGATAGGCATTCTCCTTCTTTGTGAATTACTGCCCCTAAAACCTCATTGGAGGATCAGTAATGAGTCAGTTCCAACTCCATGGTACATAACAACAAGAAGAAAAAAATCTTAAAAGAAGCAGACTCCCATAGAAAAGCTGAGGGATTCATGGACCTTTTGATTGACAGCACAGTGCTTTAATCGCTGTTCCACCAATGAAAAGCCCAAATCCTCTTGTTGATTCAGATTTATAGAACCTTACAGGGCAGAGTAGAACCTGCTCAACGGGGTTTCTTTTTCTCCCTGGAGCAGCTGATAGATTTGTACTTCTGACCTTTGGATTAGAGGCTAAGCCTCCAGGGTTCCCTGAACCCCTGGAAACAAAAGTTTTCAGCGCAGACTGCTCTCTTTTTGGACACATTTAAGCAAACTAATTAATATTTTCAAGAAGTGGTTAACAGAGTTGCTATTTACTGATTCAAACTCCTGTTGACTTTATGTATACATTTCTTTCCAAACATTTCTACTTTTCCCCCCTCACATTTGAGAAATAGCACTTATTATCCTTGTCTTCTTTTGAGAACTTGTAAAACTTTTATTGTCAAAATATGCAAACTTCTATTTTTCATCTTATAAGAAGAATTTTTTAGAACAATGCTCTATTTTGTTATAGGAACCCTGGCAGCATAGGCTGTAATATGTCAGGATGCTGCCCAAAAGATTGCCAGTTCAAATCCACCTATCCCTCTGGGAGAGGCAGACGGAGAGTCTCCTCTTGCGAAGACTTACAGCCTCTGAACTCCAAAGGAGGGTTTGGCGGTGGATTTAGTTTTTAGTATATTTTATTACTATAAGAACAGTTTTTGGAATCCAGTGATTTCTATATTAATCATTTGGCAAGGGTGACTTTCAAAGTAGCAGTCAGACTTAACCATGAAGTCGTCACATACCTGTAAAAGTGATAGTAGCATGTAAAGCTGATTTTAGTGTAAAAGGTCATTGACTTTTAAGAAGCAGAGTACACACATAGTATAGTCCTTAGTTTTAAAAGGAAAAAAATGGTTTTGGTGTTGCTTGCATAGATACATGTTTCTCTAATATTTATGTGATAATGGTTATCACATTTACTCATAAACAGCCCTATGTATTTGGAAATATAATATGACTAAGCAAGAGGAATGATGGTTATAGAGTAAATGATGAGATAAGGAAGGGGTAGAAAGGTGTAGGTTTGGGAATCATTCACATAAAAGTGATATTTGAAGTCCTGGGGGGCTCTAAGTGCAAAGTATAGAGTGAGAATTGCACGGTCTGAGGCTGAATCTTCTGATTTGCCCCTTCCCTGCTTTCTTTAAGGGTGTACATGGAGAAAACTAATCTGTAGAGAGTGGCTTGAGAGGTAGTACAATCACTGGTTCAGTGGAATGATGAGATAAAAGGAAATTTTCTAGTAGGAAGGCCAGGTATAACCAAGCTGTGGAGTTGAGTGCTGACGAGATGAATGACTGAGAAGTCCACTTTGGAGCATTCAGGCCACTACAGAGCATTGGGCTTAGTCACAGTTTCATCTTATTATGATTATCCTTTTCTTCAGAAATCCCTCTCTTCTTTCTGCTCTGCCCTGGTAGTTCTGAGCCCCCAAAGAGGTCTAGTTAGTATTCACTTTGAAGTCCAAGTTGATGACACATGGGCATCTGCTGTTTTTTTTCCTCTTTACTGTTTCTTCTGGGTACTGGCTTTCTACATGTGTGCTAGACACTGATGTTCTTGGTCAGTCAGCACTGACTGGGAAATTGGGGCAAAGGGTAGAGAAAAGGAAGAAGAAAAGTGGAAAAGGGAAGGATAATAGAGACTTTTATCTCTCAGAAGTTCCACGATTTACAAATACCGTTGGAGTAAAATGTTCTTAATTTATTTCTCCCAAGAAGGTTTATGTTTAGTTTTAGAATTATCATGAAACCAAGACACATATAGAAAAATCTTTGCTAAATTTTGAGTCATTGGCTACTATTGGTAAGATATGTAAGTAATGCTTTCATAAAAATAAATGTCGTAAACCTGGTTTTCTCCTTTTTTTCCAGATAAAGCTATTTTGGAGTAAAGCTGATGCTGTACCATCTGAGAAAGTTTCCCTTAGGATTTCGGTGACACAGCCTGATTCCATAGTTGGAATTGTAGCTGTTGACAGAAGTGTGAATCTGATGAATACATCAAATGATATTACAATGGAAAATGTAAGTTGAGAACATTTTTTTATCATCAATACATTTTAAATTTTATAATGTTAATTACCATTGATTAATGTAATAATCAACCTCTAGGTTAGTAAATTTTAAAGTAACAAAATACACCTTGTAGGAGAGAGAAAAAAAATTTATTGTGTTATTTTAAGCATCTAAAGCAGGGGGTTTTCAGAGGCAGTAAATCATACAGGAGAATATGGTCCGTCCTTCTCCAGTGGAGCAGCTGGTGGATTTGAACTATGTGCTTTTGGGATTCCAGCGCACCTTCTTACCACTAGCCACCAGAGGGGAATGAAGTTATTCATGTTACGCTACTATAGATAATTAACAAGCCAGGAAGCACATGAGCATGTAATATTACATAAATAAGCTCACTTTTATTAGTCATTTTATATTTTAGTCCGTAATATATTCTTGTGTTCCACTGTAATTTTTAACCTAGAGTGTATCAACAATGGTCATTGATCAGTATACAAGGAAAAGATATTTATGTACTTAGGCTGATTTGTGATTATCTTATAAAACTTATTGACAAAAATTGTACATTTTTCTTTAGTCTCTATTTTTTCTAGGTTTTCTTTTTTTAAGAGAACCACATTAAAACTTATTTGTCATTTGTTTCTCTGACCTTTACTAAATTATTTTTATTTTTAAAACCTGTAAACTCATTATAGGTTAATGCTGACTGGTAACGAGCTTATTGGATAGAATAGAACGGCTCCTATAAGATTTCCAAGAATGTGATCTTTATAGAAGGGAGCTCTTGTGGTTAGTGGTAAAGAATTGTGCTGCCAACACTGAAGTATGCAGTTTGAATCCACTAGCTGCTCCATGGGGGAAAATGGGCAATCTCCTCTCATGAAATGTACTGACTCTGAAAACCTTCTGGAGGATCATCTGTGATTGAGTTCCAATCGATGGTACTCCACAGTAATCTTTACAAAAGCTGACTGCCACATCTTTCTCTGGCAAAGCAGCTTGTGAGTTTGAACATTTCAGTTAGTAACTAAGTGGTTTAATCATTCATATAACTCTGTGAGTAGCTTTGTATATTATCATTACTTTTGTTCCTCCTTATAATTTGTGAGATATGAAGGACAGACTTGTCATCAGTTTAAAGGTTGAAGGTGTGAGATGCAGAAATGTTGTTTGCTAGCACAGAACTGTTATAATAATGTAACTGGAATTACAAAAGAAATCTGATTCATAGCGTGAACTGTACCTGTGGGTTGTCCTTATTTGCCTTTAGCTGCAGAAACCATTGTGGTTAATTGTGGCAAATAAGTTATACAGTAAAGGCTCCAAGTTTAGTGCTCTGTGCTCTGAATTATGACTTATTATGTAGGACTCCAGCTTTCTCTGTACCTTATTAGTTCTTTTGTCTCTACTGTGAAAAAGGATTACCAAGACTGTCACGGATGTCATTCTCCTGAAAGTAAGGAGAATGAGGATCTAGTGTCTGACTTGATTTGATAGGCTCTGAACATTCTTGGGATATTTATCTTGTGTGTGTGTGTGTGTGTGTGTGTGTGTGTGTGTGTGTGTGTATGCGTGGTTGAATGCTTTATGTATTTTTTGCAGTAAAAATTAACTTTTTTAAATTGAATTTTTTGTGAAAGTATATAGAGACTTTGGATTTCCATTCATTCATTGTTGCACATTTTCCTCCCTCCCCACCCCTCCCCCCAGTTCATTTTTCTTTTTGAAAAACAAAACAAAACAACTTTCATTATTATACAACACTCACCCCCTCCACGTCCACTACCCATGAAGCTCTCATTCTGGACTCTTGTCATGTAAATAATACCTAATCATATATTCCTTTTAAACAGTTCTCTCCCTCATTTGTTTCAGTGCAGTGTACATTATTTAAACCCTCTTTTCTTAGATTCCCCTTAACCCTGGTGTCAGTTGTGTTTTATAACAGTGGCATTATGCAATGTTTGTCCCTTTGTGACTGACATATTTAACTCAGCATAATGTCCTCCAGGGTCACCCATTTTGTATACTATTTCATGAGTTCCTTGTTTTTCAATGCAGCATAGTATTCCATTGTGTGAATATACCACAGCTTCTCTATCCATTTGTTTGTTAATGGGCACTGGGATTGTTTCCAATTCTTTGCTATTGTGAATAAAGCTGCAATGAATATGGGTGTGCATATATCAGCTTGGGTGAAGTTTTGGTTTCTTTAGGGTAAATTCCCAGTAGTGGAATTACTGGGTCAAATGGTATTCCTATTACCAACTTTTTGAGAAAATGCCACACTGCCTTCCATAGTGGTTTCACCACTTCTACCAACAGTGAACAAGGGTTCCAATTTCTCCACAATCTTAACAACATTTGTTGTTTTCTGGTCTGTCAAACTTTGCTGATCTTACTGGAGTGAGATACTGTTTTGAACATTTCTTCATGTTTTTGTTCATCATCTGAATGTCTTTTTTGGTGAAGTGTCTGTTCATATTCTGTGCCCATTTTTCAATTGGGTTGTTTATCTTGTTGTGGTGCTCAAGTATTCTGTAAATTCTAGATATAAGCCCCTTATCAGACATATCATTGCCAAATATTTTTTTCCCACTCTGTGGCTTCCTTTTTTACCCTGTTAGAGAAGTTTTTTTGGATGTACATAGGGATTTTTATTCTTAGAAGGTCCCATTCATCTATTTTATCTTTTCTTGTTTGTAGGTTTTTCAGGATGCTTGGAAGACTGTTAATGCTGTGGATTAGGGCTTCTAAAGTTCTTCCAAGCTTTTCTCTAATGACATTTATAGTCCTTGGTTTTAGTCTTAGGTCCTTGATCCACTTTGAGTTGGGTTTTGTGTACCAAGTGAGGTGTGGATCTTGCTTGAGTTTTCTTCAGATAGATTTCCAATTGTGCCAACAGTGTTTGTTAAAAAGTCATTTCCCCACTTAACTCATTTCATCTCCTTATCAAAAATCAGTTGTCCATAAGTAGATAGGCTAATTTCTGGGTTCTCAGTTCTATTGATCTATGTGTCTGTCCTTGTACCAGTACTACGCTGTCCTGACTACCATGGCAGTGTAGTAGGATTTGATATTAGGGAGTGAGATGTGTTTACCTTGTTTCTTTTTTTAAAGGGTACGCTATTTATTCAGGGCCTCTTGCCTTTGCAAATGAAATTGGAGATTGTCATTTCCATCTCTTTGAAGAATGGAATTGGTATTTGTATTGGGGTTGCATTGAACATGTAAATTGTCTTTTGTAGTATTGTCATTTTCACAATATTGAGTCTTCCTATCCATGAGCGAGGTATACTCTTCCATATCTCCAGGTCTCTTTTTGTTTCTTGTAGTAATGTTTTGTAATTTTCTTTGAATAGATCCTTTGTGCTTCTGGTTAGATTTATTCCCAAGTATTTAATATTGTGATTAGTTATTGTGGTGGGTATTGTTTTTCTTAGCTCCAGTGAGAATTGACTTTTATTATTCAAAATGGGTGACCCTGGAGGACATTATGCTGAGTGAAATATCTCAGTCACAAAGGGACAAATACTGCATGGTGCCACTGCTGTGGAATGGGTCTGACATCAGGGTTGGGGTATGACAGAAAAACTGGATAAATTATGTATATTGTATTGAAACAGATGAGGGAAAGAACAAATTAGAGGTGATATATGATTGAGTATTATGGTTAGCACAGGAATCCAGAATTAAGGTTGCATAGAGAAGTGTACTCGGGGTGAGCGGTGGGGGGAAAGGGATGGGGGAATTGTATGGAATTCTAATGAAGGAATTTTTCTTTTTCTTTTCAGAGAGGGGAGTGAACTTGTGGGGAGGGGTGGGCAGGGAGAAAAGTGCGGCAATGAATGAATGGAAATCCAAAACCTCTGTAAACGTCTATTAAAATTAATAAAAAAAGTTTTAGTTATTATCAGTAGCCAGTTATTGTTGAATACTGTTAAATTGGAACTGACACGTGGCTGACCCTCCAGTGTTTTCAGAGGCAGCTGATTGCACAGGAAGAGATTGCCCATCTCTTTTCCACAGAGCAGCTGCTGGATTCGAACAGCATGGCTTTGGGTTGGCGGTGTAACTCCTTATCACTAAGCCACTAGCACTCTTATTGTTAATATATAGAGGAATTAATTTTTTGTACATTGATGGGGCAACCCTGCTGAGCTGTTTTACTGGTTTGTTAGTTCTTAGATGAACACTCAGGTCATCTGCAAATAATGCCATTGTTGTTTTTATATAACATTGAGTTGGAACCTTAAATTGCGTTTTTAGAGGCAAGAAATTGCATAGAAGGAAATTGCTTGACCTTATTTTGCAGAGCAGCTGGTGGATTTTAAGAGTGAGCCCTTGTGTGAATATACCACAGCTTCTCTATCTGTTTGTTGATAGGCACTTGGGTTGTTTCCAACTCTTTGCTATTGTGAACAAAGCAGCAATAAACATAGGTGTGCATATATCCGCTTGGGTGGCAGTTCTGGTTTCTTTAGGATATTTCCCAGTAGTGGAATTGCTGGGTCAAATGGTATTTCTATTTGCAACTATTTGAGAAAGCGCCCTAAAGCCTTCCACGGTGGTTGCACCATTTTACACTCCCACCAGCAATGAATAAACGTTCCAGTCTCTCCACAACCTTGCCAACATTTGTTGCTTGCTGCTCTGTTAAATTTTGCTATTCTTAAAGCAAACTGAGGGTTAGGGGAGCAGGGAGGAAAATGTGCAACAATGAATGGAAATTAAAGTTCTTTATAAACTTTTATTAAAATCTAAAAAAGAAAAAAGAGTGAGTCGTTGGGTTGGCAGTGCTACTCCTTAGCACTAAGCCACCAGAGTAGCCTATACTGTATAACAGGGTTCCTGAGTTTGTTCCCATTTTTTTTCCCTTATGGTCTTCATAGTTTTAGTTTAACCCCTACACATTTAATTCTCTTCCTTTTTTCCATTTCAGCTCTTTCATCCAAATTCCTTTTTTTTCCTTATAGGGTATGTATAATCTATACTGAAGATTTTCAATTGAG